TACTTTTGAATACATCTTTTTGGCTGGGTCAGCTACCAACAATGTGGAAAAATGCCAATATTACACCGGTGTACAAAAAGGTAATAGGAATCTTAGAGAGAACTATCATCAGATTCCACTAACGTGTATTCTATGCAAAATCGCGGAGAAGGTGGTGAGGAATCGAGTCGTTGATTTTTGGTCTGATCAAAATCTTTTCAACCTAGATCAATTCGCGTACCTCAGCGGTAAATCCACTCTATTGCAGTTGTTAGCTTGTTAAGATGACTGGGCTAAAGCTAGAAATTGTTCTAAACCTACTGACGTTATCTTTCTAGACATGTCCAAAGCTTTTGATGGTGTACCACACGAGCGTTTATTGCTTAAGCTAAATAGGTACGGCATAGATGGGCCTTTACTGCAGTGGTTTAAACATTTTTTGACAAACAGAATGCAACGCGTTGTTATTAGAGGAAAGTGTTCGGATTGGACGTCAGTGAAGTCCGGGGTGCCCCAAGGAACAATTCTTGGCCCTATTTTGTTTATCATCTACATAAATGACATCTCAACAGATTTGACATCTACTGTTAAGATTTATGCAGATGATACTAAAATCTACCGAACAATCAGTTCGCCAGATGTTGATATCCCTGCCCTGCAGAGTGACCTAGATCGATTGAGTATATGGGCAAATAAATGGCAAATGCACTTCAATCCGGATAAATGCGAGGTCATGCGTATTACACATAGAAAGGATAAAACTAAACCAATTTACTCGCTGGGGGGGCAATTTAGGTCGGTAGAGAACACTAAGGACCTTGGAGTAACCATCTCTTCTGACCTGTCCTGGGGCTTGCATGTATCTGCAACGGTAAACAAGGCAAATATGGTACTAGGTATCATAAAGCGGTCCATCGGAACTAATAGCCAGTACGTGTTTTCGCAGCTCTATAAATCACTGGTCAGACCCATACTGGAGTGTGCGGCTCCTGTTTGGAGTCCGTATTTGACTAAGGATATTACGGCTCTAGAAACGGTTCAACGAAGAGCTTCGCGATTAGCTTTAAGGCAGAAACGAGGCGAAATGAATTACGAACACCGTTGTAGCTTACTAAAATGGCAAATACTAGAAAAGCGGAGAGAATTTCTATCTCTGGTTCAATGTTATAAGATAGGTTTTGGTATTGGTCACCTCTCTTTCCCAGATTTCTTTGTTTTTGCCAATAAGCGTACAAGAGCTAACCACGGCTATAAACTTTACCTGAAAAGAGCGGTTTGTAATTGTTACAAATATTGTTTCTTCTTTCGCATCGTAGGGAAATGGAATAGCTTGCCAGGATACATTGTCCACTCCGAATCATTGTCTGTTTTTAAGAGTAGACTTAAAATTTATCTGAATATTTTTTGAATTTTTATTGAATCTGTGGCCTTTAAATTTTATCTTTTGTATTTTTTTTAGTCAAGGAAATTGTTTTTTTTCAGGGCTAACCTCACGATTTTCCCTTTTCAGGATGTATTTTTTACATTTGCGTTCTAGCTTCCTGAATAAATGTTATGTATGAATGTATTTGGTGCAAAAATATGCTGATAAATTTATACTAGTAGCTCATACTTTTTCTCTAGCGTCACCGTCTCGGAAAACTGTTAGTATCTCGATAAAGACGATGTCCGCGGACAAATATCCGAGCGTATTTCCCGCCAAGTGGAAGTTATCGTCTTAGTATCTTCGCGTCTAACGAAAGAATCTGTTTAGTCACAGTACCGTACAGAGACCGCGTCTCAAATTGAATTCTGTTACAAATGGTTTCATTTTCTTCTATAAGCTGTTTATCAACTCAAAGCCAAGAAAATCGATGTTTTCGCAAGTGCACATGTCAGGTTGATGATGAAAATTCATTTCTGAAACCTGATTAGGTGAGCGAGGGTCATTGTTACGGTGGCCCAGAATGCAACGCAAACAAAAAATATACTGCAGCAAATAAAAAATATACTGCAGCAACTAACAAAAATCAGAACGCAAAGAAAAAAAGTACCGCAGCAAATAAGAAAATTCATTACACGACTCGGGCAGTGAGAGGGCCAATAACTAAAATCAAGCAATCAAAATGCTCTATTGCCGGTCCAATATTCTCTAAATATTGGACCGGGCACTGTCTCGAATGGTCCCGAATGATATCGCACTTGTGTCCCCTTGAACTTCGGTCGTATAATAAATCTCTTATTAACCAAGCTTGCTCGGGACCACACTGGAATAATATCAACCCTAGGTCTTTTTTTTCTTAGCTCGGTCCGTACTGTCAAGACCTCGGGCCGATATTCTCCCAGTGCGGCCCTCGCGCTTGGTTAATAAGATTTATGCAACGCAAACAAAACACCGTCGTCACTAAAAATACTCAATGATCGGCCCCTAAAGCAATGAAATCTTTTAGGTAATGAAGTTAACGTCTAAAATGTCCCTACGTTTTTCCCCTAAATATCACCACTTCTTTTTGATTTATATGTAAAACAATATACTTTAACCTCTTACTTTAGCTGAGCTATCATAAATGCTCTTCTGCAACTCTTCATCATCACTGGACGTTTCTGGTTCGCTTTCCACGTTCTACATCCTGAGCATTTCGGAAAACAGAAATCTGATTTTGTACTGATAAACAATGTTATTCTCTTGTACTACCTTCCAACTTCTTCTCTGTATTTCTCCAATACGAAGGGCTCATTAGATCCTGGTATATTGACCATCTCGTTACAGTCGTGGTAAAGAAGAACATACTGTAATCCATCATGCAGGCTTTTATCGTGACTTGTATGTTTAGTGACTGCTTTCTCCTTTATTTGACTTGCACTTGCATCTGTGCTAGTAGTAATTGGCAATGTCTTCCCTCTACACTTTTTAAGTTCACCATTACAGTATTTCATTACTCCTATATTGACAATAAGATCCTTCTTCTTACTAGCACTAGTCACTTTGGGTTTCTCTCCTTTGGGCTCAAACTTTCCTCTTCTTTCTTCTTTCCTTTTTCTAAATTCGGAAAATCCGATGGTTGAAGCCTTAGTAGGAGATGTCGATTTAGAACCGCAATTCGAACAAAATTTTGCCAATTGTGGCAAAGACTTTCCACATTCGCTGCAAAACATGGTTTCGGAAAGGCGAACAAGCTAAGGATGGAACGAGTGTTGGCGGGAAACTAAGAAAGAACTATTACCCAGTCTTCCTTGGCGTTGCGTTTCAATTTTTTTGTTTGCGTTGCATATTTTAATTGCTGCGGTATTTTTCGTTTGCGTTGCATTTTTTATTTTGTGCGGTACTTTTTTTTCTTTGCGTTTTGATTGTTTTTTATTTCCTGCTGTATATTTTTTATTTGCGTTGAGCCTTCTGGGCCACCGTACAGTGTGACGTCATTTCTGCCGCGTCGCTTTGGGTACTTCTCCTTTAAGACAAATAACTGCACGGAAATCTCTTCGCAGCTCAACAAGTGTTTGTTCATTGTTAAAAAGGATTAACGATCACCAAATTTTCCACCTTTTCCATACCTTCAATGAAATCTGAATAAGAGCAGCCAACAATCGTTTTTTGCAGTCGCGAGAACACTTTGTGCCGTCATACAAGACGTAATTTGCTCCGTTCCCGCGCTAACCTGGTAAATCTGCCATATTCATGGGTGTATTAACAGGGCTGAATAACGTCTGCGCATGTGGAGACCTCTTGGCTCTCGCTGGTGCCAATGGCCTGGGCACCATAACAAACTTCGGAAAAACGGCAGCGTTTTTAAAGTTTCGTATAGCGCCCGGTTTTTGGTGAAAAGGTAGCGCAAAACTGCAAACGGTAGAAAGAAATCTTTACGCTAGTTCCCTCATTCATTGTGAGGCGTGAGTAGTCCAGTGGTCAGTGCGCTGGACTCTGGGTTAAACGGCCCCGGGTTCAAGTCCTTAACGTTGAGTCCTTAAGCAAGACACTTCACTCTCATTGTTTCGTCTTCTCGGATAGGACGTAAAGCCGGAGGTCCCGTCTCTTAAAGGGTAAGGGGTAAAAGACGTTAATTTCCCACGCACGAGATTACTGTGTGCTGGATGTCCTCCCCTGGGGTGGGTTGGGTGGGAAAACAGCAGGTCCACATCAGCTTATACAGTTGCCAATAAATTCAACCTGCTTGAACAAATAAACATGATGATGATGATGATGATGATGATGATGATGATGATGATGATGATGATGAGGTCCTGTCAATTGATTGAAAAGAATAGACAATGTTCGTATTCCCCGACGGCCCTGGGACGAGTAAGCGCTTGCGTGTGAGTGCGAGGCTAATGCGG